ATGAGGTAGTGAGAATGGTCATGCATTGTTTATATGTAAAACTCTCAGTGATTCTTTTATCCTCTAGTTTTTGTTTTGCATTTTTGATTGACCGTTTTGTGCTGAAAGCAACTTAAGTTGTTCAAGCAAATATACTTGATAGATTGATCACTAAAAAATATAATGCGAACCGGAGCCGGATACGGCGTAGCAGGTGCTTAAGGTCCATGGTGCAGTGGCTGAGTAAATAGCCCTACTAAATAACTTGAGCGAATAACAGCGGTACAATATACCGTGTAATTCGATGTTGACCATATTATGCGCTGATTCTGTGGTATTAGTTATTAGTTTAACTGATGCTTACTGTTATGTTAAAATGAATTGCCTACTGATGCTGCTAGAAGTACGTTCTGGGCGATTCAGATACCAGATTTAAGATGCTGCACACAACACAAAGTGGTTAATATCCAGAAATTAAAAATAAATTGGCAGCATCATACGTGTTGTAAAGACTAAATGGTTTATTATAATAGGACTTCGTGTCGTCATCCCTTTGGACAGAAGAAGGTAGTTAATTTACTCTTAATTTACATTTCATGTTTTTCCTGTATTCGATAAACAGCATAGATTGATCCTTTTACATTGGAATAAGCAGCTGTCAGATAGATTAAGGAAAATTGGAGCCTTATGATACATGGTCGTACCTGTAGCCCATACTAGTATGACCATGGTAGAACATCTAGCTGCCCTGCTGTTTGCAGATCAGTTTGTCAAACTGAAGCAACGTTGGGTAAATTCCTTGTTTAAGGTTTAAGGCAATTAATGAGCAAGACAGATGTAGTCTTTTTCTTGATTCGACATCGAACTCTGCTATTTTGCCACCTCACCCCGAACGACAGTCACCTGTTTTTAAGTTAGTGCCATTTGCATTCTAATCCAACCTTTACATCTGAACAGTACGTATGGTGTTTAGGATGCGACGTAACGGGAAAATCGGTCGTTGTTGTCGGTCGAAGCAAGATTGTTGGCAGTCCGGCGTATTCGTTGTTCATGTGGAACCATGCCACGGTGACAACATGTCATTCGAGAACAAAAAACCTTCCGGAAGTATGCCAAGGTGCCGACATTCTGATCGTTGCCATTGGCAAGCCGCAAATGATCAAAGGTAGTACAATTGTTAGTTAGTTTCGTTAATTCTGATTGACAGTCGCTTCGGCGTGGACAGTAGGAATGTCGTGTATCAAACGGCACGTAATAACTGCGACTGCATTTACAATGGCAAGTCGTGTAAATGGTTAGAAACTGCAATGGCCGAATGCATGAGAGCCATGGGCAATTTCACTGATCCTCTTTCGGAATTCTTTGCCATTTCTCTGGAGAACTACCTTGACTTTAACTACAACAATATCACAGTAATGAATCTTTCATGAAGAAATCAAACAGGTAATCTAGGAGT